GAAAAGCAATTAGGATTAACGCACCCTCCACCCCACACACCACACACCACGAGGAGGCCACACACCCACCTCCCTCAGTCCCTCTGCGGTGTGGGTGTTGCGGACAGTACGGAGATGCAGTGCGGCAACTCAGCCAGCACGACACAGCTGCTCCTCGCACTCAACTACACGTACGAAAAAGGGGAGGCAGAGCCCCAAGCAACAATTAGCAAGAGGGGAGAAACATATTCATCATGAGCCAACGGCTGCATGCTCCATGCCCAATGGTGGCACTCACCACACAGCCATCACCGCCATCGACACCGTCATCAACATCAGAAGAGATCCGTGCACCCACACAGGACTGACACTGCTGTCCGCATTCTTCGTGTCCTTCACGTTCTCGGCAGCACTAGCAGCAGCAGTGGTGACAGACGTCTTACTTGTGTCACCATTGACATCAGCTGGTTTGTGTGGGGCTTCGGAGGCAGATGTCTGCACCTCAGAAGCGCCTTCAGTGGTCACGTCCTCGCCACCAGGCTTGAGGTTGGATAGCGGGGGACTGCCGGCTTCGTCACCATCTTTGCCAGTTCGCTCATTACGCGTGTGTGTCGCTGATTGCGCCTGGTGCTGTGCTGCCACTGCACCACCGGAACTCTGTTCATTGAGAGTTTGTCCGTCGCGGCCTGGCGCACCCTTTTCCTCTTGAGGGGCTCCCGCACGGCCGTGTGCCACTTCGCCCATCGCAGAGCTTGAATCCGTCGTGCTGCGGGCACCAGTGCGGGGAGTGTTGGTGGTCCGTCTTTGTTTCGGGTATTTCCCCTCTTTGTTCAGCCTGTCCATTTCCCGAATTTTTTCCAGGACCTCAGGGGGTACATTTCCCCACTTCATTGAGGCCTTTTCCTCCGCCGTCAATTCAGTACGCCTCCCGATGTAAACAATCTTTTTCGGCACATCGTCGCCGGGAACATTCCTCGTGTGGTGGGATTGCCGTGACGGAGTAGCGTCTAACTCGTCCGCCGCACAGCCGCGGCCCACGCACACGCAGAGGGCACACGCAAGGAGGACGT